TGGGCAATTTACATCTATGGGCAATGTTAGTCTATGGGCAATGTTAGTCTATGGGCAATGTTAGTCTATGGGCAATGTTAGTCTATGGGCAATGTTAGTCTATGGGCAATGTTAGTCTATGGGCAATAATAGTTCATGGGCAATGTTAGTCTGTGGGTAATTTACATCTATCGGCAATGTTAGTCTATGGGCAATGCTAGTCTGTGAGCAATGTTAGTCTATGGGCAATAATAGTTCATGGGCAATATTAATCTATGGGCAATTTACATCTATGGGCAATGTTAGTCTGTGGGCAATGTTAGTCTGTGGGCAATGTTAGTCTATGGGCAATGTTAGTCTGTGGGCAATGTTAGTCTATGGGCAATGTTAGTCTGTGGGCAATGTTAGTCTGTGGGCAATGTTAGTCTATGGGCAATGTTAGTCTATGGGCAATGTTAGTCTGTGGGCAATGTTAGTCTATGGATCGTGTTCGTCCGAGATAAGTAACAACAACAAACCCGCATCGAGTCTCTTACTCCTCCCCAGTTGCATCCGATCGTTCGATCCGCGTCTACGCCGAGACTTCATTTGCTGTCTTCCCCTCTGCTTCTATACTGTCCCCTATATACATTTACCAGCTAATACAGCATTTATATATATGTGTGTGTCCGCACGTTAGAATATTTTAAAAATAAAACTAATTCTCATTGCACGTTTCGCCGGCTAAAACACACACACGCGCGCGTGCCTATGTTTGTTTATCGCTCTCAACATTTTTTTTGCGTGCGACTAACCGGTTTAACCCGGTTCCCCCCACCCCACCTATTGCGGTAACCGGTTATGCAACAAAAAAACAACAAATACCACGCGCCTTCATGCGCATCGACTCAAAAAATCCCTTCGCAAATTTTTGCCCGTACACTTTTTTTCATCGACCAAAACGCCAAACGCCTCCGCCATTCGCCATCACGTGGTGGTGACGCGCGCCGCCCACGTGACCTGTGCCAGGCCTGGCCACGTGCACGCCGAGGCCACGCGAAGTGCCGTCGAACGCGCCACGCTTGCTGCCAGTAGGAGGAGGAGGGTCACGGGACCAACCCTGCAAGTGCCTTGGCGTTGATGGACTGAGAGCAAATGTTATCCATGATAGAGGTGTATTTTTTTTTGGGGCTAAATCGCGTACAGACAAATGCATACCCGTCAACCCGTACGGTTTAACCCCGTGTTGTTGTACAGGGAAAGGTAGTTTTTCAGGTCCATACGGAGAACAGCCGTTTCAATACCGGAAACAAGAAAATAATTGTGTCCATTTGTTTGTGTTTCTCTCTTGTGGGGACTTTGTAGGATGAACTCTGAGATGTATAAGGGGCACGGGGTGACCAATACGGTCTCAATTGGTCTTTAATAAACTAGGGAACTAGTTTATTAAAGACCAATTGAGACCGTATGACAGGTAATGCCGCCAGGCCATTCTTTGTGAGATCCTTCCTTTTTTTAAAGGTCACACATCTTCCTTAAAGGTCCTGCCCTTATTTGTCATCGGTCCCCACCCCTTTCTTAAAATCCCCACCATTCTTAAAAGGTCCTCCACCTTTCTTCAAGGCCCCGCGGTCATTTCTGTCCGCGAATGATTCCAAGCGTTCCGTGGTGGCAATATAAATAATACACTATCTCTTTCTAGATTTGAAGCTTTCGTGACTGCAAGGATTCATATTCTTAGGTTTTTCGGTAAAGTCACGTAGGTAAAACATCAAAATTAATAAAAATAAAATAAAGATCACGACGTTCGGAGGCAACACAAGTCTCCGTCATCAGGTGGGACCGTCACAGCCAGATCTGGCTTATTTAATTTAATTTTTATTAATTTTGATGTTTTACCTACGTGACTTTACCGAAAAAACCTAAGAATATAAATATCACTATCATAATTGTTTTTTTACCCTTCTATCTGGCAACAAAACTGACACCTTTTTTTACAAGGAGTCATGTTTGCATAGACCACAATACCTGCAGTCATAATGCAAACAAAAAACATAACTCTGATAATGTATCCAATGGTGTAAATGCTTCCCAATCTCTCATACTCTGATGGTGCATTGTCTTTGAGTTGTGCGCCTTTTGGCGTCATCTGGTCCAACACCATGTGAGACTAGGCTCTAAGAAAAGCTGTCTCGGGTGTGGACCAATCAACTTCAAGGACAGTGCATTACATTATCAGAGTTATGTTTTTCTTTTCATTATGACTGCAGGTATTGTGGTCTATGCAAACATGACTCCTTGTAAAAAAAAGGTGTCAGTTTTGTTACCAGATAAAAGGGTAAAAAAACAATTATCATATTTTTACTGGCAAATGAGGTTCCAATGGAATATCGCTATCGTCGTCGTGGAAATGGCTCCGTGAGACTAAGGCCGCTTGCTCGGGATTATTGGGGTTCGTAGTTAATGCCCGAGAGCCCAGAGGGCCCAGTCTAAGGCACGTGCGACGATTACCGACGGTTCAGTGCTAAGACACCTCAGGCCCATAAAATGCGAAGGGCACGCTTCGGCTGCAGAGGATGTCCGATGGAAATAGCTGCGACTTCGGAGAGCCAGGCTAAGGCACGTAAACTACAGCTACTAACTCTTAGGGCCGAGTGTTCGAGATTATAGATTCCATGCAGAGGGGCGACAGGACGAGGAAGGGGAATGGGCGATGGAGAAAAGGTGAGGATTTAAGAGAGGAATGGGAAGGAGGAGGTTAAGGAGGGTGGATTGATAAAATGTACAGGGGAGTTGTTGAGTCTGTGGGCAGGGTTGAGTCGACGGTAAGTGTTGACTCTATGGGTAGCAGTGGAGTCTATGAGTAGCGTTGAGTCGACGGGAAGTGTTGACTCTATGGGTAGCAGTGCTGAGTCTATGAGTAGCGTTGATATGAGTAGTGTTGACTCTATGGGTAGCAGTGTTGAGTCTATGAGTAGCGTTGAGTCTATGAGTAGTGTTGACTCTATGGGTAGCAGTGTTGAGTCTATGAGTAGCGTTGAGTCGACGGGAAGTGTTGACTCTATGGGTAGCAGTGTTGAGTCTATGGTAAGTGTTGACTCTATGGGTAGCAGTGCTAAGTCTATGAGTAGCGTTGAGTCTATGAGTAAGTGTTGACTCTATGGGTAGCAGTGCTGAGTCTATGAGTAGCGTTGAGTCGACGGGAAGTGTTGACTCTATGGGGAGCAGTGTTGAGTCTATGAGTAAGTGTTGACTCTATGGGTAGCAGTGTTGAGTCTATGAGTAGTGTTGAGTCGATGGGTAAGTGTTGACTCTATGGGAGCAGTGCTGAGTCTATGTACAGGGGAAGTTGATTCCCGTGGAAGCGTACATATTACAGAATTGCCATATATTTTCCCACCATGAAGCATAGCTAACTGTGATCACCCGAAAAACAATCATAATCACCCTTTACACACCGCGAAGAAAGTAATAAATTAAGTTTCTGTATCTGCGCAAGTTGCACACCTGCTTTGGAGATCGTAAAGTTACATGCGAGAAAGGGCATTGAGGGGATTGTAAACAGAAGACTAAATACCTGGATCACAGCTGTCGTGGTTGCTGTGGTTGTTGTTGTTGTCGTTGTGGTGGTTGTTTTCGTTGTTGTGGTTGTTGTGGTGGTTGTTGTGGTTATTGTTGCGGGTGCGTACGCGTGAGTGCGTGCACGTGTTCACGAACCCGTCCGTGCGTACCTTTTCAGCGTCACCTCGCTAATCTCGTCAAATAGCTACTACTACTACATACCGTCGGTCACGTGAACTCCCTCGTCATCCTCGCAAGCGGCGGCGGCGATGGCTTCTGGCCAAGCCGTCGAACGAAGACGGCACTCACGGATCGTCGCCGCGCGGCGCTTTCGGACGCGTTTCTGTGGCCGTCTGGAACGTTCCTTCCTTTAGAAATTATGTTGTTGTGTTTAGTTTGCTGTCCTTCTCCCCCCTACACCTCCTATTAGCGCGGTTGGCTACGTACGGTGGTAGGAAAGAAGTTCGGCATATTAGTACGAAAAATCAGAATAGGCTTTACCCTTTCTACAATAAAACAGAGGTATCTGTTTGGTGTTTGAACCAAGGAGTAAAGCACCGCATTAACCAAACACGTTACTTGTGGTGAACATGCAAACAAACATGGCTCTGATAAAAAATGGACGTTGTCTTTGAAATGGATTGGCCTACACCAGAGACAGCAGCCTTCTTTCGGGCCTGGTCTCACTACCAGTGTCAGACCGAGAACGCCAAAAGGCGAACAGCACAAGGATAATGCACGTGTATTGTTGCATGTATAGTTCGCGGTGAGCAGCTAAATCATGAGATACCTTTTGTGCCAGCATCAAAGCATGAAAAATTATAAAAGGTGTTTACCCTCTCTGGCAATAAAACGGGAGTTGTGCTAAGATATTCAAACACCTTCTAAATAAATACCGAATGTCATTCATTTGACGGTCCTGCTGCCCGACAACGCGGCGGGAGGCAGTAGTCGGTTCCCGAAGAACGTCGCGTTATTGAACCGATGTAATAACCGGTAATAAATAATATATAATGCCGGAGGTAAAGCCGGTTCCGCGCATAACGTGCATGAAATGCCGTACGCAGGCCAAAAAGAGGCCATCCCAATGCCTTGTGTGTACGGTAACATCTAGAAGCATCTAAACCTGGGTAGGGGGGGGAACGTGGGGTTCTGGCGGGGAACTGGGTTCTGAGGGGGAACGTTGAGGTTCTGGAGGGGACCGTGGGTTCTGAGTGGGAGAACGTGGGTTCTGGAGAGGGAACGTGGGTTTCTGGAGGGAGAACGTGGTTCTGGAGGGAGAACGTGGGTTCTGGATGGGAGAACGTGGGTTCTGGTGGGAGAACGTGGGATCTCGTGGGGAACGTGGGTTCTGGAGGGAGAACGTGGGTTCTGGTGGAAGAACGTGGGTTCTGGTGGGAGAAACGTGGGTTCTGGTGGGGAACGTGGGTTCTGGTGGGAGAACGTGGGTTCTGGTGGGAGAACGTGGGTTCTGGTGGGAGAACGTGGGTTCTGGAGGGGAACGTGGGTTCTGGTGGAGGATCAACGTGGGTTCTGGAGGGGAACGTGGGTTCTGGGGACGTGGGTTCTGGAGGAACGTGGGTTCTGGTGGGAGAACTTGGGTTCTGGAGGGGAACGTGGGTTCTGGAGGGAACGTGGGTTCTGGAGGGGAACGTGGGTTCTGGAGGGGAACGTGGGTTCTGGTGGGAGAACGTGGGTTCTGGTGGAGAAGTGGGTTCTGGAGGGAGAACGTGGGTTCTGGAGGGGAACGTGGGTTCTGGAGGAGAACGTGGGTTCTGGAGGGGAACGTGGGTTCTGGAGGGGAACGTGGGTTATGTGGGGGGATGCGGGTTCTGGAGGGAACCGCCGCCACCACCGTGGCACCATCACTGACCCCCGCACGCGTTCACGTGCAGGCGGGAGCACCCCGCGGCTGTGCAGCCTCCGCCAGCTCCGCGAACTCGCTGGGCATGGAGTGCACCTTCTTGGGCTGCTGGTCGTCGTAGTAGTGGTGGTGCAACTGGCGGCCCTGCGGTGGGTCGACAGGGGCGGCCGTGGGGGGCCGCGGCGGCCTGCGCCCCCTTCTTCCTCTTCCTGCTCCTCTTCGGCTTCCTCCTTCTCTCATCCTCCTTCACCTGCACCGGGGTGGGCAGGTCGTGCACGAACGGCCAGAAGCCATAGACATGCACCTCGTCGCACAGGTCCATGGCCACGCTCGTCTGGGGGGAGGGGGGTAGGGGCGAGTGGGAGATGTTTTGGGAAACACGGGGAGAATGTGGTAGAAGTGTGCGCAGTCTATTTAAACTATTACACCATTTTTAGCTGGTTATAGTACGAATGTTTAATGTGCATTCCATCTGAGGATCCCAATGCGTAAGAAACCACTGAGCTGCTATCTTGCTCTTCTTTCATGCAACGACCTCCTGCATACCAGGCGAGGTAGTTAACGTCTCCTCGCCACCATGATGATGATGAGAGAGAGAGAGACGCAAACTCCAAATATACAGCAGGCGTCAGGGTCGGGATCGAACCCACGACCTCCTGTATACCAGGCGAGGTAGTTAACATCTCCTTGCCACAGTTATGATGATGAGAGAGAGAGACACGCAAACTGCAAATATACAGCAGGCGTCAGGGTTGGGATCAAACCCACGTCCTCCTGTACACCAGGCGAGGTAGTTGACATCTCCTAGCTACCATGGTGGTGGACTCATAAAGAAATGCTTAGACTTACTTAGGAGGGAAGATGCAAGGGAAAGTTGGGAGACACGGGAAGACACAAGGATACACGGAAAGACACAGGGAGACATGGGGAGACACGGGGAGACACAGGCCGAAGCTGCACCTTGACTCAAACCCAGTTCGTCTCATCTCTTGATTGGTGCTTCAGTATTAACCGCTATCTGATTGTGCTACCAGCACACCTGCCCGTCTTGGTCCCTGGTCGATATTTTGATACGCGTCTTGATTTTATACGTGGCACATTAGGAATGGACCACTCTTTTAATTATTTCCTCGTACAGCAATGGAGTAAAGTGTGGTTTTGTGAAGGTCCCTTATGTGCTGTGAAGTACATCAATGCTCGTGTGGACACCAGCATGCGATACTGAGTTGGGCCTGTAGGTGGCTGGCAGGGTTATTGAGTAACCCGACCTGTACACCAGTCACGTGGTTAATGGCGACTGGGTTGAGAATTTCTGTATGACACACGTGCTGTTGAATTTTACAGATTATCACAATTAATGTGTGAGCCCTCGATTTGGAGCACCTGCCCACGTCCTTCATTTCGAGTGTGCAACACATAGGTTGGAGGACTACCTTCTTTTAATTTATACTTTGACGTATTGGGATGCCCTCTCCAGTGGGGGCGAGTTTTTACGCATACAGTAAATTGAATTAATGAAACAAAAAGGGAGACGCGGGGAGACGCAGGAAGACACGGGAGGCAGGGGTGTAGACACGGGGAGACACTGGGAGACTGGGAGACACGGGAGACAGGGAGGCAGAGGTGTAGACACTGGGAGACAATGAGAGAAATGGGAGACACTGCCAGACACGGGGAGACACGAGTAGGCAGAGGTGTAGACACTGGGAGATACGGGGAGACACTGGGAGGTAGGGTATAGACGCTGGGAGACACGGGGAGGCACTGAGAGACACGGGGAGACACGGGTGTAGACACTGGGAGACATGCCGAGACACTGGGAGACACTGGAGACACGGGGAGACACTGGAGACGGTTCCCGTGTCGCATTGTTACCATCATGAGGCCCGAGGTGATGTGCGACTCCTTGACGCCGCGTTTCTTCCAGAAGCGAGAGATGGCCCTCATGTAGGAGGGGTTGAAGAAGGCCACGCGCTGCTGGGACTCAAAGTCGTCCAGGGTAAATATGGCCTGGGGGGGGGGGGGGGGCGTGGGGGGGCGTGGGGAGAGGGAGGGGGACAGGGGTGTAAGGAATCGCTGCCACGTGTGATCCAGAATGGACACGTGGTGCACAGGTGGACACTGGTGGACACGGTGGATGTGAGTGGGCCCGTAGTTACCCTGTACGCAAGCGACGTGTACGCAGATACAGAGAAGGCGGGGATGAGCAGGATGCTGGCGCCGTACGAAGACATCTTCCTGATGAACTCCTTCCTTCTCCCGATCAGGGACTCGAATCTACATACACACACACGGGGTTACACACACACACGGGGTTACACACACACACGGGTTTACACACAAAGATCCCCGCATAGCCGTAACATACTTTTGGGGCAAGTGCTGTTAGCACCTATCAAGGCCGGCACGGCACACAAGGGGATGGGTGGCTAACACCACGGCCGGGCCGCCTTTGTGTTTACTACACACCACACTCAGGTACTCATTTGAGGCCAAGTCGACCTAGGGGAGAAGTCCAGAAACAGTTCAGATAACCGTCACCCCGAGTTGGTGGCGGCGAGCGTGGCCGGGGTTCGACAGACATAGTAGTGCGGGTCGGGGGGCGGGGCGGGAGGCGGGGCGGGGGCCGTCGCCGATGGCTGTCGGCCCCCGATTCGTTCGCCCACCTACCTCCTATTGGACGACTCTGCTCACGGCAGAGGCCGTGGCTAACAAAGCACAAATCAAATCCCGACCTCGTATGTGAGGAGCTCACAAGGGACGTCGTCACATCTCGCCCTCTCTTGAAGGAACGGAAGAGGAGGGAGGATGTCTCCACAAATCCGGCCATCCCGCTTGATGAAGCCGGTTATAATTGCTTGCGAAACGTCTGACTCAGAGTTGTAAATGTCGTGGATTTGCTCTCCAACACACCGGTGCGGCTGTACTTGTGACGAATTGGCCGTGTTCTGTTCGCGTGACACTAAAACTGACTAATTGGCTGTGCCGGGTGGTGGCGGGTTTAAAGACACAACATTTATATTCACGCGATATAGCCCAAACAAAAACTATCATGAAAGACAAAGATACCCCCGTGTGTAGCCTTTGAACGGGATGTTGGAGGCACGTGCTGTTAGTGAGTCAGCAATTGTGAAGGCCGGTGGTGCGGGCACACCGGGCGGGTTGGTTGGGCCTTCAACCCACCCGGGGCCGCCTTTGTCTCCCCAATGGCAACGTTTAGTACACACACGGTACACCGGTGTGCTCACTTGAGGCTGAGTCGACCGAGGCAACACAAACGACAAAGATCCGTCCGTGTTGGGGTAAGTGCTGTTCGCGAAGAGGAGCAGCAATTATAAAAGCCGGTGGCGCGGCACACTGGCTGGGTGGGTTGGGCCAGCGTCACAGCCTGGGCCGCCTTTGTCTCCCCAGTTGGCGTCGTTTTCTGCACACTTGAGGCTGAGTCGACCATCGGCACGCGGCCATGCGCACTCGCTCGCTCACCGATTGATGAAGATGGTCGGGTTGGAGGTGACGATGTCCGTTTTGCTTCCCACGTCATCCTGGAAGTTGCCCCCCACGGGAGGGATGTTGCATCTGGTGGAGAGCGAAGGGGGTGAGCCACAACCCTGCCCGCACGTCGAGAGTCAACCCTGCCCGCACGTCTAGAGTCAACCCTGCCCGCACGTCTAGAGTTCAACTCTGCCCACTCCCTCTCTCTCTCTCACTCTCCCTCGCTCTCTACCTCCCTCCCTCCCCACTCTCCCTTTCCTCTCACCGGATCACGAAGTCGGCTGCGTCGATCTGGGAGCCGCAGGAGCTGTTGGCGAGGATCCCTCCGTTCCCCACGACGGCGCAGCGAGGGTAGCGCCCACTCCGCTCGGGGAACTCCTGTGGCCACATCACCATCATCATCAGCTATCATCATCATCAGCAGCCATTATTATCAGCCATCATCATCAGCCGCCATCATTATAATCAACCACATCATCAGCCATCACCATCATCATCAGCCATCATCAGCGGAAGCAGTCATCATCATTAGCCATCATCATTAGCCACCATCATCAGTGATCACTCGTCGTCATCATCATCATCGTGATCAGCCATGCTGTAGGTTGGTAGCTGGCGTAGCCATGGGCGGAGGTGGCACTGGGAGAGGGGTTTCGGTTGGAGACCCATTGGCCAGCTCGCTTCCCCGACGACCGTTGAACGCACATTCGTGACAGACAGGCAGCTTCTGCAAAGAAGCTACTACCTAAAAGCTCAGTTGGGCCTTCCTGTACCCGGTAACAACAAAATAATTTAGACTTAATAAAAAAAAACAGTCTACCATTGGAACCTCATTTGCCAGTAAAAATGTGATAATTGTTTTTTTACCCTTCTATCTGGCAACAAAAACTGACACCTTTTTACAAGGAGTCATGTTTGCATAGACCACAATACCTGCAGTCATAATGCAAACAAAAACACAACTCTGATAAAGTGCACTGTCCTTGAAGTTGATTGGTCCACACCCGAGACAGCTTTCCTTAGAGCCTAGTCTCACATGGCGTCATCTGGTCTAACACATGTGAGACTAGGCTCTAAGGAAAGCTGTCTCGGGTGTGGACCAATCAATTTCAAGGACAGTGCACATTATCAGAGTTGTGTTTTTTGTTTGCATTATGACTGCAGGTATTGTGGTCTATGCAAACATGACTCCTTGTATAAAGGTGTCAGTTGTGTTGCCAGATAGAAGGGTAAAGAAACAATTATCATAAAAACAGTCTAGTTTTAGTTTATTCATTTAGTTTAAGATGATTTGTTTACCTTTGCTGTACTTGGCACTCCGGTCTGTTTTTTGTATTGTTGGGTGTTGTAACTTTCTGACCTATCGCTACTGGACATCAGTGGCGAGATGTTACCTACCTCGCCTGGTGTACGGGAGGTCGTGGGATTGATCCCAACCCTGATTCCTGCTGTACATTTTGAGTTTGCGTGTCTCTCCCCGTGGTCGCGTGGATTTTTCTCCGGATCCTCCGGTTTTCCCTCCACAATTTTAGAAACGTGCGTTTACTGTATGTGGCTGATATAAATTTCCACATGCTGATGATGATGATAAGCCCACTTCGTTGAGTTATCAACTGTGATAGCCAGGTCGCTCCTGAAAAGGAGCATTGTTGCAGCTCAGTGGGGCCTTACTCCTGGCCACAATAAACAAAACAAAATTTTAGTTTGTGAAAAAGGGCTTCAAAGCTCATTGAATTTCTCCAAGATAAAACATTCTGATGTGGCTCAACCGAAAAACAAAACATGGATCTTTATATTCGACGACTGTCCTGCCTGCCCCGTAGTCTCACGAGGAGCGGTGGTGCAGCGGTTAGCGTGCTACGAACCCGGCGACCCGAGTTCGATTCCCGCTGACGGCCACCAACCCCGGGTGTTGATTCGTTGATCCGGCCCTGCCCCCACCCCACCATCCCCCAGGGTCGCACCTTGAGGAAGAGATTCGTGACTTTGGCGTCCACCACGAGCGTCTTCCTGCTCTGGTCGAAGACGATGCTCGTGTTGATGGGCGAGTTGCTTCGCGTGATCACCACCTGGCTCGCTCCTCCCGTTGTGTTCGCGTGAGTCAACCTGAGGCCACAGCGATGGAGATGCAGAGAGAGACACATCAGAGAGAGGTGGAGACGTAGAGAGAGAGAGAGAGGGATAGAGAGAGCCATTAGAGCGATACATCAGAGAGAGACATGGAGAGAGAGAGACAGACAGAAACAGAGAGACATTGTAGACAGAGACATCAGAGAGAGGCGGAGACATAGAGAGACAGAGAGGCATGAGAGAGACAACGGAGAGAGGCAGCGGAGAGAGAGAGACATTAGAGAGATACATCAGAGAGAGACATCATAGAGAGGTGGAGACAGACAGAGACAAAGAGAGAGGCGGAGAGAGACATTAGAGAGAGAGCAACATAGAACGACAGAGAGACAGAGGGACATTGAGAGGGAAAGACAGAGACGGAGAGAGACAGAGAAAGAAACGGAGAGACGTTTGACTTTTTAAACAACTTTTATTGCCGCCAGCAGCAAATGCACTGGAGGCGATTTCAGTATGAAATACACAAAGTCACCAGCAAACAAATGAAAATAAACGCTACAAATCGACGCGCTGTGGCGCTAAAAGCACCGTGGTTGTGGTGTCATCGCGCACGCCATGGTGACGAGCGAGCGCTTCAGAAGGTAGAGCGAGATGCAGACGGAGAGACTTAGAGAAAGACAGCAAGAGACAAAAAGAACGAAGCACAGAGAGATATAGAGATGAATTGACAGAGAAACTCAGAGACAGAGAAACGGAGAAAAAGAGATGGAAACAGAGAGAAACATACAGACAGAGCAATGCAGAGAGAGAGATAGAGAGAGACATTGATAAAGACAGAGACACAGAGAGAGATGGAGACAGCCGGAGAGATGGAGAGACAAGGAGAGAGAGGCCGTTTGACTGCGAGAAGGGCTGCGTGCAGAACGAGAGAGAGCGAGAAGGGAAGTAATAAATAATAAAAATAAAACATAATAAAATAATTCTCACGACGTTTCGGCCACAACGCAAGCAGCCGTCCTCAGGTGAAGAACAGGGCTGTCGAGGCGACAGCGTCTGAGTTTTAGAGACATTTCTATTGTGTTCAATCTATGCAAGTCTGTGGGTCTTAAATTTCGATTTAAAGCTTTCGTGACTGCAGGGATTCATCTTCTTGGTTCTTTCGGTAAAGTCACGTAGAAGGGAAAGAAAGAACCAAGAAGATAAAGCAAAGTTATTAAAAAAAACATTTTAAAAAAACAATTAAAATAAATTACGAAATGATGAACGAAGCAAAGTGCCGACTACACCGAGCATCTTCTTGTTTCCATTGATCGTAAAAAAAAAGGAGAAACATCTTCTTGGTTCTTTCGGTAAAGTCACGTAGAAGGGAAGTAATAAAATAATAAAAATAAAACATAATAAAATAATTCTCACTAAAACATAATAAAATAATTCTCACTAGTGAGAATTATTTTATTATGTTTGATTTTTATTATTGTATTACTTCCCTTCTACGTGACTTTACCGAAAGAACCAAGAAGATGAATTCCTGCAGTCACGAAAGCTTTAAGTCGAAAGAGAGAGACACAGTCACTTCAGCCAGTCCTGGAGATAGATGCTAGTGGTGGTATCGTTGTGAGCTGCGCCACGTGGTGCGTGCTTTGTTTGTGGGTCCTCGTGGAGGCTCCGCGACCTGCAGCTCGCGGCCACGAGAGGGCGACTCCACGCCAGGGAGTGGTCACGGGCGAGTGCCGTGACACCGCTCTACGGGAGGTCAAGAGGATTTTTGTTTAAACTTTTTTGAAACAAAATTTTTGTTTTAAAATTTTTTAACTGTATTTTTTATTAAATGTTTTAACAGTTTGTTCGAAATTTTTTTTACAATTTTTTAAAAGAGTTTTTTGTTAACAATTTTTTTACACATTTTTTGACGTTTGTTTTACTATTTCTTTCACCATAAAAACACTTTTTTTACTGTTTCTTTTTACTATTTTTAAACAAAACCAAATAGTAAAATACGACGTTTCGGTTGCAACACAAGCAACCATCATCAGGTAAGAATTAGTGATAAAACACAGACACGGAAACAACACAGGCAGACAACATGCAGAGAGAGACACACAGACACACCGAGTGTCTGCCTATGTTGTTTCCGTGTCTGTGTTTCCTTGGTGTGTGTCTCGCTTGGTGTGTCTTTGTGTGTGTCTCTCTCTGTATGCGTGTCTTCCTGTGTTGTTTCCCCTTCTGTGTTTTATCTTCATTCTTACCTGATGATGGTTGCTTGTGTTGCAACCGAACCTCGTATTCTATTATTATTTGATTTTATTTTCTACGTGACTTTACCGAAAGACCCCAAGAGAAATTCCTGCAGTCACGAAAGCTTCGAACCTAGTTTATTTTTAAACACTTACTTCACCTGGAATGGTACTTTCTACAAACGAAATGAAGGTATCCCCATGGGTTCCCCCTTATCACCAGTGATAGCGAATGTTTTCATGGAGAAATTTGAAACAGATGCCATCCAGACATCCACCCTACGTCCTTCCTTGTGGAAGAAATACGTAGATGACACCTTTGTCATTTGGCCACATGGCCTGTCAGCATTGAACCAATTTCTCAACTACATCAATTCCATACATCCATCCATCAAATTCACCATGGAAATGGAGAAGGATGGTAAGCTATCATTCCTGGATGTTCTGATTAAGAAGAGGCCTAACGGCTCTTTGGGACATTCTGTATAAAGGAAGGCCACCCACACAGATTCCTATCTAAAACCTGATTGCCACCACCATCCGGCACAGAAGAATGCCCTCATCAAAACACTACACCATAGGGCCCACTTCATCTCCGACCAACACCACCTAGCCAGAGCACTGGAACACGTATACCAAGCCCTCAAGATGAATGGGTACTCGGACCACATTATTTGCCAAGCTGTTTCTCTAATCATGGAGAAACAACCCCCTGAGACGCTGATCAAAACCATCACTTTACCATACATAGCAGGTGTTACCAAAAAGATTTCCAAAATCTTACACAAACACAAGATCCAGGTCTGATTCAATACAGTACACAAAATCCGTGATCTTATCCCATCTGTGAAGGAGGTCATTCCTGCCATGCAATACCCGGGAGTCTACAAACTGAGTTGTACCTGCGGTAGCAGTTACATTGGGGAAACGAAGCCATATGTCTCGGACCGTGTTCACGAACACAAGGCAGATCTGAAACATGGCAGAACCAATACCTCTGCCGTAGCTGACCATTGTTATAACGCTGTGGGCTCACGTGATATTGTTTTTTCCGAGACCAAGGTACTCTGCAAACCTTCGGGCTACTATCATAAGGTTTGTTCATGAAGCAATCTAGATCTATAAACATAAACAAAACTTCAACCGAGAGAATGGATACAAATTGAACAATCATTGTTGTTGTTGTTTCCATCATTACCTGCCGGTTTACTGCTAGCCCCGCCTACGTCCCCCCCCCCCAGCCTCATGTCTTCTCCCCCTAGCGCTCACGTGGCCCCCCTTCCCTTACCTCACACCCCCCTCTCTCCCTTTCCCCCTTTGCCTCCTCCCCCCTGTCTTACCTATATAACCTCTTGCCACGGCAGCTCTCCCGCCGACTTCAGCATTTACTTGCTGTGGTTGTCCCAACTGATTAGGATTGCTTGTGTTGCGATTGAAACGTCGTGATTTGTTTTATTTGATTTTTATTTCTACCTACGTAACTTTACCGAAAGAACCAAAGAGTATCATTTTTTACGTAAACATTTTTTTAACAGTGTTTCTTTACAATAATTTTTTTTCATTTTATAAACATAAAAAATGTAAAGTTTTTTTACTTATTTTTTCCAAAAATGTCAACTTATTCTTTAATGTTTTTTCACAATTTGTCTAACAAGTTTTTTCGTACAATTTTTAAACAATTTTTTTTACAACGTTTTTAAAGTTAGTGTTACAATTTTGTTACATAACAAAAACAATTCTGTTTTGTAACTTTTTTTAAAGAAAAATTTAAAGCTGTATTTTTTTAAATTTTTATAATGTAAAAAAAAAAAAATCTGAAACTCTTTTTTAAATCCTTTATATTAAGTTCGCTCGCTTGCGTGCTTGCTTGCTTGCTTACGACCGTGCAAATCTTTCGGTCGTTTTTTAACCCACTTCCCGTGATCCAATCGAGCTGACATTTTGCACACAGACTCGTTGTGCGTGACAATTAATTTTCGTGAAAAAAAATGTGCAAAATTTTACACTTTTTAGGAATTTTTTTTTATATTTAATTACCAATTGCTTAATGCTGCCAGGCAATCATCTGACTCATAAGTGGCAGCCATCTCAAGCCAGAGGACAAGAGGACTCTAGCCGCCACGCATATAAAGGATTTATAGTGAAAAACTTTGTTTTTACGGGTTAATTTTTTTATTATTTGAAAGGAATTTTTTAAAACTGTTTTTTGAAACAATTTTATTATGATACATCTTATTTTTTCTATTTTAAAACAGTTTTTTGAAACAATTTGAACAACTTTTTAAAACAGTTTTTTTTTACTATTTTGAAACTATTATTTTTGTACTATTTTAAAACTATTTTTTTTACTATTTGAAACTATTTTTTGGAGCGATTTTTTGTTATCTTACCGGGTATAAGGTCCCACTGAACTGCTACGTAGCTTTTTTTCAGAAGCGACCTGGACATCACAAATGACAGCTCCAAAGAAGTGGGCTTATCATCATCATCATCACGTGTGGAGATTTCTAGCAGCAGGCAAATTCTCCACACCGGTGGTTCTTAACCCGTGTGTGCACGCACCCCCTGGGGATGTAAGCTGCCCTTTCTAAAGGTTGCAGGGGTGCAAGGTGCAGGCTGCTCTAAACGCACGTTTGTAAATGTGGAGGGATAAAACCAGAGGACATTGGAGCAAAATCCACGTGACCGCGGGGATAGAAAGAAAGAGACACGCAAACTCCAAATATACAGCAGCAGGCGTCGGGGTTGCGAAAGAACCCACGACTTTCTGTAAGCCAGGCGAGGTAGTTAACATCTCCTAGCCAC